ACAGCAGACAAACCAGAAAGACCAGACGTACGCACGTACATACATACATACATACATACATACATACATACATACATACATACACACATACATACATACATACATACATACATACATACATAAATGCATGCATACATACATGCATACATACATACATGCATACCTTCATGCATTCAGGCATACGTACATACATACATCAATCCATGCATGCATGCATGCATGCATGCATGCACGCATGCCTATGTATGTATGTATGTACGTACGTACGTACGTACGTATGTATGTACGTATGTGTATATTGTATAATGACATATAGTTGTGAAAGTGGTTGAGAATTGGGGTTGGTTGGGGTTCAACGACAGGCCTGGCTTCGCAACAACCCGGGTCCTCTAAGCTGCCAGCCATCGCGAGTGTCTCCGGACAGAGACAAGCTCGAGCTGTCCTGGGCTCGGACATTTTACTCACTTTGAAACTGCCTCCAAGCCTACGGAGCCGTGATAAGCCAGAGCCCGATCCGAAGTGTGGGGTTGCTGCAGACTAGACCAACCACTAGCTGACGGTACGTCAGCTTGCTTCACAGCGCTCCTTCGTCAGCTACTCTAATTATTGTTGTACTTATTCTAAACTCTTGGGTCTTCTCAACTCTGCTCCTGCTTTTCATTTGTACAGTACTGACCAGATTCTCACCCTTAATTCTTTCAGGGAGTGTCTGAACCAACTACAGGAAATAGTGCCGTTGGGCCTGTACCCCTCCCTGCGACCCTTGATTCAGCTGGACGATCCGAGGTTTTTGAACCGATCTTCCCGAGCGTCATTTTCAACAAGACTGCATCATTGCGAAGCAAGCAGCTTTCCTGATCAGAGGGTCGTTGAGGTTGCGGCGATCCACCGGGTATGGCAGTGCAGGTGGTATTCTGTAAACACCTTTCATCGGACACCAGAATTATTGAATGTCATGCAACAATCACAGCTTGATCGTTGGACTATACGACCGCTAAAGGCAGTTGAAGTCGTGGACGGCACTTACATTTCCCGCCTGCCAACACCTGGTCCAAGTAGTTCCAATCCAAACGCTCGTTTAGATGGAAGACCTGGGTGCTGGCGAGTGGTCTGGGATCATGTCATCTGCGGCTCCACCACATGGGTTGCCTCAAAAGCATCCTCAGCCTAGGAATCTTCCGTCCGCGGGGCCGTGCGAGATTCGATCCAGGTCGTTTCTGGCGGCCCGGGGCCTTCCTGGCCCCATCGAGAGGTCAGGTGCACAAAGAACCGCTCGTAGAGGAAGCTGGTGGCTTTATCTCCTTTGCGAATGGCGAATGGCTTCGGACTCTAGTGACTAGCTCTAGTGGGGCGCTGAGATGGCGCTGCGTGTGCTTTTTCCATCGGGCTGGTGCCAACTTCTGAAAAAGACCGTGCCGTGCCCAACCTAAATTCGAATCTGAAGCTGGTGACCTGAAGGGCGAAGAGGCAGTAGTTCGATTGGCCACCCGGGTTCAATCACAGCCAGGGAAAGAAAGCAAGCCCAGCATGCTTGACGAGCATCTGTCCAGTTGAAAGTGCTCCTTCTTGCCGACAGTAAGGTCCGTCTCTCTCGGCGCAAACCTGCATAGCCACAAAAGCTCCCACGTAAGCAAGCGCATGCTTTTCACATGTACGTGGTTCGGGAGCACGTCTAAAGGCGCCATTGGCTCCGATAATTGGGCAGCCGACCCGAAGAGGCTTTTGCCCATTTTGCATGTCCCTCATGTCGCCCCGCCCTGCTCGCCTCCACTCAGACCCACAAGCCGCTTGCACAGTGAGCTGGTGCAGAGATTTTGGGAGGAGGTTGCCATGCACCTCTCCGCCACACAGCTAACAAGGCAGCGATCAAGCATCAATATGGTATCAGCACGCAACTCGCAAAACCTGGGACATGCGAAGCAATTCTTCAGAGACGGACAGGAACGCATGTTGCGACATCTTCGGTGCCTGCCATGGACTCTGCTTGTCCTCCTCATCGTCCGCCATGCCCTGGCAGAACCGAGACTTCTCATGTGCGCATAGCATCTCAGGATATTTCAATTTCAGGCCTGACATAAAGTGGGGTCACGATGCAGCCACGGGCACAAGTCCGGCTAGCATAACCTCCTTCCCAAGCCCCCAAGTTCCAGGCCTGCGCGGGCCAGTTGTACACGTTGTAGTTCACATTCCTGGTGATCTGGGTGCCACCGAGAGCGGCCAGGCGCAGGCCCACGAGGTCTTGCATCAGGTTCAGCTGTGCGCCTCACTACGACATCGATATGGAAATGGAAAGCCCTGACCGGAAAAGCTTGTGGACCAAGCAGTACCTTCTAAGCCGAGCTTCCTTCCTCTTGTCCGAAACGCAATGGGTTGACAGTGTATTGCGTGGGGAGATATTCGGTCACCGTCTTCGTCGACTCACTCATAGCCGAGCTCAAACGCGGCAGCCTCAACAACAACAGAGTGGTCCAATGCCTACCATGCTTGTCATGCTCTTACAACTGTGCAAGGGTCTCCGCGCCTAATCTCGTCCCATGTTTTCTGGTTGGAAGATGCGCGGAAAGCTCGTAGCACCGTCTCGTCCTGAAACGTCGGCATCGACTTCGGAGACATGGTTGGGCGCTCGTCCTTAGCACATGAGACAACACGATTGCACATGGGGTGTTGCTGTCGTCTCTCATGGCACCACGAGCCTCAGGATCTGTTTGTCTAAGCATAAAAGAAAGCTGGAAAAATCCACTGAAAAGTATCAAAGGCTCTTTCTCACGAGGATACGATTCTTGGATCAGCGGCAGGACTGGCGGAGTCCATTGCAAACCGTGGTTCTGCTCATGGTCGATGAACGGGAGGAACGAAGCGCTGACCGAGTCCTGGGCACGGAAGAACAATTCTGGTATAACATCACCCAAAACCCTTGTCTATAAGACTATAGCCCTGATATCCCCATGCTAATTCAGACCATTTTTTTTACTTGGGCCGGGGCACCTCTTCCGTCCAGCACGGGGAGAGGCGGCCTTCCTGGTAGGAGATGAAGGAGAGCCAGCGCGGGAATGGCGAGAGCTTGTCCGCCTCTGTTTCGTGTGACCTGTCTTGAGAAGGCACTCGCAAAAGTTGTCCAATCCGCGGACTGAGCAAAAAGCACCCTATAATTTTAAGAACAAACTAATACTCAAATCATTGTAGGACCAGGTATGATTATGTATCAAATTATATTTATTCTTTCTCATCACCATCACCAGGATTACTTGCCCGGGCATACGGCCAGCCCCCTGGGCTTCCCCACGTCCGCGAGGGTACGGAGAGGGCGGAGATGGACGGACTTTGCGGCCACATGATCCAGGGCACCCGATGAAAAGGTGGATCCTGCGACTGACATCGGGTTCACAGTGACGTGGAAAACTGTTGGCAAAGCTTCACACCTCGAGGGTTCTGGAGCTTTTCTCATTCCGACTAACTTCAGCGATTCACTACCTGGGTGCGGGGATGACAACGGCCTGTCAGCATCGAAGAGTAAGTAGCAAAATCAATGTGCTGGTTCTGAGCATGGATTCATGACATGAATCCTGCATTCAATCCATGGCCTAGCTCTCATGTCATGATCGGTGGCATCGCTATGCCAACTTTGGTGTCAGGCAGGAATCCCGGACGCTGACGATCTGGAAAGACTGGTGGCCGGATGAGATGCCTTAGTGCTCAAAGCCCAAGGCCCGTGCCGGCGAGGGGGGGTTGAGGGCAGGCTGTACTTTCTGAATTCAGAGCACGACTTGGCTGCTTGGCTTGCCCCTAAGCTGCAGCGGCGGTTGGTCAACATGTACAGCTCCCGGGTGCGGCTTCGAATGAGCCCACTCCCAGCGGTGAGAATGATTACCACCTCGGAAGTCGGTACCAAACGCATAGGGTCGATCGAAACCCGAATGTTCTTGAACGGATTGAAGAAATACAAGCAGATACCCACCCGTCCGCGCCTGACCGCTGACTTTGAGATACCTGTCCAGATGAGTCTGGTCGAAGTGATCCAGAGCCAGATTCAGACACTCCAGAGTGTTGCCTGCATGCATGCTGATGGACATTTGCGCAAAGTTGCAACCACTGCAGGCCTCCCAGTCTCCTAGTGACTAGTGGTAGCTAGACCCACTTGGCATGTCTCTGAGGAAACCGCAAGACGCGGGCACTGGAGAGGCTCTTCGGTTCAGGGTTAGCGTCTGCCTTGATGGGACTCCACCAATTCGCCATACCGGATGCCCTGCCAGCAGGATGCCTCTGCGACTGGGCATCGAAAACATTGTGCATGTGGTGCAGCATGGCATAATTAATCTACATGGCTTTGCATTGTGTTCGAGCATGCAATAGAGTCCAACATCGTATCATGAAACATCAAAACAATGCAGCATCAGATCATGTAAGATCATAGCATGACAGTACGTAACTCATGCTTATGTACTGAAACAGACATAAGCACACATACACACATGTATACATTCATACATACATGCATACATACATACCACATACCTACACACATCCATCCATCCATCCATCCGTTCATCGATGCATGCATGCATACTGCATACATATAGACATACTTACATGCAACCATACATAGAACCATACAAGCACCTGCAGAGAAAAAAAATAAAACATGCGTACAGAACTACATCATAGTTACATACCTGCAGACGGACGGATGTGCGCGGCTCGCCTGTAAATACACCGAGCTTGCATGTCGGGATATCGAATGCGACCGCAATGCAAAGCAGCTTATGGCTCAGTCCAAACTTGAGTCTAAACCAACATGGCATGGAAACTAGTCACAGTCACAGGAACAGCAAGCCCCAACTAAACTACGCAACTAAGTAAGCAGTGTGCAAACTTGCGATTAGACACTGCCACCCGCACAGAAGCACTGTTGTGAAACACGAGCCAATTGACCTACAAACACAAGAACGACTACGAGTAGCAAAAAGGCAGTGCATAGATTCGATCACAGCACACAGCGAGCAGGACGGAATTGGCAACACATTTAAAAGGCCGGCACTCCAAGCGCAACATCCAGGACAGTAGATAGCAGAAGTTGAATATATTGGGATTACGGTACCGAGAGTGTGGGAAAAGCAGGTTGTAGCGAACGTAATTGGCAGTTGCACTCGTCGTCGCCGTGGCGGTGGTGGGGTGGTGGTTGTGGTGGTGGTTGTGGTGGTGGTGGTGGTGGTGGTGGTGGTGGTGGTCGTGGTGGTGGTGGGTGGGGGTGGGGGTGGGGGTGGCAGCGGCGGTGGCGGTGGTGGCGGCAGTGCTGGTGGTGGTGCCTTTGCTGCTGCTGCCGGTGCTGCTGCTGCTGGAGCTGTTGCTGGTGCGGGTGCCGATGCAGGTGGGTTCTCGCTGGCTTTGCATCTTGCTGTTGATGTTGATGATGATTTTGCGTCGTCGCGCTGCTGGCGGTCGCAGTGGTTTTTTGGACGCGAGACTACGAATAGCCTCTGCAGGATTGCAGCCGCGCGACTGCCTCGCCCTCAGACGAACTGCTGCTCTGTCGTCTTGGCCAGGAATCCGGATCTCGCTTGTATCGATCCTGGCTGCGGACTTCGGAAGGGCTGTTGAAGAGTTTCATGCCAGGTACTGTGAAGTGAACAGGCAAGGACAGGAGGGAGAGAAAGGGACGGACGGACAGGCAGACAGTGGGAAAGACGTAGAGACCGACCCAGACAAAGAAGAATATCGACCGCGCAAGGCCTCTTCTTCCATGAGTGTGAGAAAAACGCGCGCCACCTGAACAAGTCAGCACGAGAAGATATGCTTTGATCTGTCATCAAGGCACTCGCTGGGTGTCTTTGGGGTGCAGCACAGCAAGGCATCACTGGCTGTCATCTGACATATTCCTGGTGACAGTTGTGGCAGCAGCTTTCACGGAACTACACTACTATGAGTGGAGGCACTCGATTTCGCAGTTCGCGTGCCGGTGGCATTGTGGAGGCATAGCCCTCGAAAATCACGTCATAGAGGTCCTGGTGAAAACCAGCGGCGAGCAGCCGCTAGTTTCCATGTGTGGTTGTGTATTTACGTATCTCGGCCTCTGACAGCACCACAAGTGCCAACCCAACCCTGACGTTGCAGTTCCCTTGAGCTAACTTGCTGTCTTTGCTATGCCTTTTTGGCCATATTGCTTTGACCGGCCTTGTGGGGAAAACCGACAGAACACAGAAGGACCCGAGAAAATGAGAACGATCCAGAAACCATCCAAATGACTCGCTCTTGACGGTAACGGTTAGCAAGTTTCGCGAAAGTGTGAAATTCACTGCAGGGAAACAATACAATACAACTTGAGATGGCTTCCCAATTAATCAGAGAAATAGATGAAAGGAGAGAGACACGCGAGAATGACAAAGAGAAGCGGGAAGCCACGCACAGACGTGGGAGCGGCACAAGAGAACATGAGCCAGCAAAAAATCCGCAATCAGATTGACAGAAGGAATCGAACTGGAGAGAAGCAAACGACAGCCGGGCACGTGAGACAGGCCACACTCACACACAGTGGGATGCAAGACTACGACACAACCAACGAGAAACAGACCGCCGGCTCGCAAGGGACTGGAGCAGACTGAGACAGAGACATGACAGAATAGAGGGGGGCAAATACTTCCAAGAAGAACTTCGGAAGTTGAGCCAGGGAGAGGAGAAAGAGAGACATGGATACGTGGATACAGGGACGCAGGGATGGATGGACGGATGGATGGATGGATTCGGTAGGTAGGTGAGTGGGTGGGTGGATGGATGGACGGATGGATGACATGATGGATGGAAGGATGGACGATGGCCGGATGGACGGATGGATGGATGCTTGTTCGCTTGCATGTTGGGGTTACACTGCTCTTGGTGTGCTTCCCCAAATCGCATGCGAGGCTTCGTAACGCTTAAGAAGCCCTCAGGCAGCATCTATGCGAGGGCTTGAAACACGGAGACGCACCCGAGTCCTTCTGGTCAGGGGCAGGCCCTACGGCTGTAAAGGCCTGGCGGTTGGGCGACCTGGGAAAAGCCATGATAGTTGATATGTAAGATATTAAGATATGATCCTTTTTAAGGTGGCTCATCAGAACTGAGGACTGAGGCACGCCGTCAGAGCTTGTTTGGGGTTGGCATGGGTCGCCGGAAGACATTTGCAAAAGACGCCTAGTTACTACTGTAGCTCCAGTCAGCCATATGCCCAAACAACACCTCCACATGCTCACAGACCTCCTCTGACAGAATTTGAAGGCAAGCTGAAGCCCCGCTCCGTTTTGAAGCCGTTTCGGGGCTCGGGGGCGGAGCCTCGGCGAAGCTTTTTGCGAAGTCTCTTCGTTCGTTGACTCGGAATCTTCCTCAGTTCTTGACCGAGCTCACGCAGAGCAAACTTCGCATAGGGTCAACTAGTACGGTTTAGGGTTTAGGGTTTAGGGTTTAGGGTTTTAGTCAACTAGAAACAAACCAGCCTAGACTCCTTGGCCCGCGCAAAGAGAATGATGCGCAGGAAGTGGCTGGTGCTCCGCTTTCCAGATGGCACCGCGCATGCCCGTTCGAGGCACTGACCTGCATGCGGAGCGCTTGCCTCCTCACTCCGGCCCAGGTCCAACCCCCGAGGCCCGGGCCAAAGCACTCCAGGAGAACTTCCCAGTAGTATCTTCCAAAGAGGCCGAAGGAAAACCTTGGGGTGACCCTCTCTGTCATGCAGCTGGATCCAAATTGCATCACTGGTGGACAGGAAGGAGTACTTCGCGGCAGCAGTAGCAGTTCTGACTTCTGCCGCGTTTCTTGTTCTGCTATTGCGCTCGTGTCTTGTCCCGGTCATGCTGGCAGCCCAAAAGCAGCTCAGCGCTCACCTCGATGAGCAGAAACATGTGCGTGCTGGACGACCTTGCGGCAAACAGCTCTGGAGTCATCAGCTCGCCGAATTCGGACAAAAGGGTGTTTTCTGCTCAGCAAATGGCCTGAAGGCAACATCAGTCTTCACGCCCACCATGCCACACGCAGCGGCTTTCCCATCTGCTGAGACGAGCTTGTCCTGATAAGCTGCTACAGAGTGCTCGTGCTGCTAGCAAAACTATGCAAAGTGAACCCAAATTAATTACAGGTTGCCGAGGCTCTATGCTGCTGGAGGGAACGTGCTCACAAAAGTTTTGTCGGAAACCGCGATAGATCAGCCGCCCCTTGTGCTGCATCATTGCCAGCTGCAGCTGCCACAAATCGCCTTCGTCGGTCAAACCCATCTACAGATGGGGTCACAAAATGTCAACCTTAGCCTTACACGCGCCCTCCCCGAAAAGGTGGACAGGACTCCCCAAGAAAAGTGGAGCAGCAACAGTGCTTTCTCGTTTCTCATGTAAGCTGCGCTTTGACATGTACGTGTCACCGATGACCATGACCATCTCCTTCAGAGCGGCCTCCTGGCGTTCAGAGTCAGCGACCCGATGCTCCAAGGCTTAGGCCCAGGCCCCTTTTTGCCGAGTCCTTCTCTTCGGCCAAGACTAGCTTCGCCTTTTTCTCTATATCTCCCGTGAGACTTGCCTCGGACGCACTTGGTCGAGGGCCCCGCCCGGGGCGCTACGTTCAACCCATTCGAGACGAAACTATCAAGGCTGCCATATGGACAGTCTTAGAGTGGTGGACAACATAATCTCTCTGCCTCCCTGAACAGAGAAGTAACACCGAATTTCAGGCCGAGGGACAGCATTCAGAATAGACTTCAAAATCGAAATTGTACCGGTCTTCAGCTTCTCTGAGAAGGACTCCGTATGCGCTCGGACGAAAAACCTGAGCTGAGGTGATCCTGACAGTAGCTGCTTCCATCGGGCATGCTCGGTGGATAGCCGGCACATTGGCTGTCATTAGCTGTCAAGCCGGCGCTGGTGGCAAGCTAGCAAGCTTTCGTGCGAGAAGTCCCACGGAAATCGCAGTCGGCGCGCGAGGACGCGAGTGAAATCTGGGTTTGAAGATCAATGCGGAATGCATTAAGAAGGGGAATCCGGAACCTTGCATGACCGCATAGAAAAAACCGCCTCATGGTAGTCTCTGAATATTTGATTAGTCTACATTATCTTGTCAGGGCCCCTAACCACCCTGGACCCCAATGAGATCTCGAGTCCCGCCAGGACGAGGCACGGGAAGTCTGGCTTCTCGGAAAACTTGACCCGAACGAGCCTCGGGTAGGTTTCCGATTTAGGGTTTCGGCGCTCACACTCGGGCACTCCAGGCGAGGCATGTGGTTCGAGGTCTGCCTCAGTGAAACTGCACTGCGAGTTAAGCCTGACACAACACTCCCCTAAGATACAACCTGCCAGCGGTTTGGACTCTCGCGACTCGAACAATGCGAAGCTTAGGGGTTCGGGTTCAGGGGGTGAGGGCCAAACAGGCACAGGGGCTTTTGGGCTCGGGGCTTCTTGTCTCCGGTTCAAAGTGGAGCCCGCTGGAAATGGGGGTGCGGTGATGGTACAACAGCCAAGGCTTCAACAGACTTGGTACAACATGACCGCCAATCCGAAGCCATCTCCTCCGCGAGGTCTGGCACTAGATAGCGCAAACTCATCTCCAGGATCAGGGCTTCGGTACTATTTGACACGAGATGGACCGAAGATCCCGGAAGCCTCTTAAAACAGCCCTGGAGGACCTGTGGAAAGGAGACCGAGGTGCGCCCCCTCTGAAAAGTGGTTTTTCAGAGAGGTCGGGAGCAGAACGGGCCGGGACTCCTGGATCGAAGCTGACACACTGGAAACAAAGCGCCGGTTCATCTTTAAAGTCAGTTCTGAGGCTCAGGATGGTCAGCCTACTACTCCATAGGCCCCACGCGCGAAGTGAGACAAGCGCTTGAAAAATTCAAAACACGGGTCCTCCTCATGCCAGGTCCACAGAACCTCTGGTTCGGGCTTCACTGCGCCATCATCTTGCGGTTGCTGTTTCCGTGCCTCAGACGGGACGCGGGGTGCTCGAAAAAGTGCTGGTCGACTGGTTCAACTGGCGAGGTGCAGCTTCAAATCTTGCCACAATGGAACCTCCCAGCCCTCTGCGCACGGGCATCTGACCTCAAGTCTGCAAACGCCGCATGTGACAGACCGCAGGGCTTCGCTGGGTTTGTCGCGCGGAACTTAGGATGCGACCACTGCAACCACTTCAAGATGGCTGGTGCTGTCCCTCATCCGCCGGTGGCTGCGAATGCATTCCGCATGAACGCGCTTCGATCGGGAAAGGGTTGTGCAACAACTTTTGTGGGCTAAAGTTGCATGCCCATGCGCGCCCGATGTTTCAAAAGCAGTCAAGCACATAAGGCGCTTCGGTATCTGGGTCATAGCAGCCTGTCTTTCATGATGGTCATGCTACCACATTGAGCCGTGGTTGCCACGCGATGCTACTTGTAACATGCAGCTTTCCGAAACGATGCTTTGCAATGCCACATCACTGCATGGCTGCGCCATTCCGTTGCACTCGTGCCATGCTTTTCCATTCCCGAGAATAATCTTCAGTGCGTCCTCGTCTGAGCCGTCCTCATCCCCATTCCTTCGCTTCTCCTTCAAGGCCTCGAGAACGAGGCCCCAATGAGCCTGACAGCTTTGTGAAACCGAAGACTCTTCCATGGCTCGCTGCAGGCTCCCTGGGTATATTATACTATATTCTAGCTATAATAGGGAACCCCCAAAACCCTAAACCCTAAAGCAGGCTCGCTGCCCTGGCCTGCACCAGGCTTCCCAGGTCGGACCTCTCCTTGAGACCCTTCAGGCACTCCTGGACGATGAGCACGAAGGCCATGGCATGAGACCTGGTAAGATGCTCAAAGCCCTAAGCAGCACCAAAAAGACCCGTGTTTCGTCTGCGACCACTCCTTGCATCTGCCGGTCTCACCGCATCCGGCTGTCTAGAAAATAGTTTACTCTTCTTGCTCTCACAATCATCAAGACTATGAGTTCCACTAGTATCGCGATGATTCTCAAGATAACTGCCTTGACTCTGACTATGAATATGAAGATGACAACGATTAGGGCGATTGCGATTGCGAGTACGCTTCTGCATCTCAAAACTTAAACATCAGCATCACCTTTGCGATTGCCATTGCTAGTGCCATTACGGCTAGGATTGCTACTGTAGCACTGCTCCTCTAGCGATGACTGGCCATCATCATATCACTACTGTTGTTGTTGCTGTTGTTGCTGCTGTGCTGATGTGGTTATTCCTTCAATCCTCATTGTTATCAGCGTGTTGTTGGTGTCGTTGTTGCTGCTGTTGTTGTTTCGCAATGTTTATCCGATACCTTGTTAATGTAGTCATCATTACTAGTGGAAACGTTCGAAATATACAACCACCGTCGCTTCTTCCCAATATTGTTGCGACTAGTATCGTTGTTGGTTGTGTTCGGGGAAGTCTTGTTATTAGTGCTACTCCTGTTACCATTACTGTTGCTCTTACGCTTACTCTTGCTCTTGCTCGTACTACTCCTATTCCTATTGCTATCACTTCTACTGATACGGTTGCCATTAAACTATTACTATTATTACTATTGCCAAGACCATTGTGATTACGAGTCGTAGTAGCGCTCGTCGTAGTAGTGGTAGTCGCAGTAGTGGTGGTAGTGTATTGAACTGCTTTTGTGAGTGCTGTTAATACGGTTAATACCGGTTAATACTGTGTGCATGCCTGTGTACTTGGTCCGAAAGTATTGCTCTTGTAGTTCTTGGTGTTGTTGTCGTTGTCTTTGTCGTTGTTGCTGTTGTTGTGTTGTTGCTGTTGTTGCCGTCGTTCCTCTTATTCCTGTTGTTCCTCCGTTGTCGTCATTGTTGCTGTTGCTGGCAACATGATGCCAAGTATTCTTATTGTTGGGGGTGGTGTTGGTGGTTGGTTGTTGCTGCTGTTGCTGTTGCTGTTGCTGTTGCTGTTGCTGCCGCAGTAGCTGTAGCTCTAGCTGTAGCTGTAGCTGGTGGTGTTGTTGCCGATGTTGTTGTTGTGGTGGTGGTTGTGGTTGTGCTCCCGGGCCCCACCACATCGGCACCTCACCAGGGCATGGACACCCGGATCGCGAGCCAGGTGATTGACCAGCTTGGCAAAGGCCTGAGATGCCCCCTGCGTTCAATTTAACTCCACAGAGAACGAAGCAAAGATATTATAAGAGCCGTTTGAATGCAGGAGAACAGTTACGGTCTCGGAAAACGACCCGCAGTTGTGGACTCCTCGGCCAGGCGGCCAAGCGTGCCTGGCAAGCCAGTGGATCCTCTGTGGCAGCGGCCAGGCTGGCCACGTGGCCCTGAGAAACATGTTCAAAGTCAATCAATGTATAAAAAAAAGCTGCATGAAAGCCAGAATTGACTTCGGCCCTTCCGTGAGCTTTGCTTGAAGTCGGATGGCGGCAGATGGTAGCCACGCTGGCTCGGCTCACAACTCTTCCTCTTCGAGATCTTCTATCAGAGCAGCCCCTACATCCCCATGCTGGACAATTCGAATTTCTAGTTCCGGCCCCGTCTTCAAGTTGACGAGAACTCCACAGCGCCTCCCCACTCTTCCTTGTGAAAAATGCCTGCTCAAGCATTGTGTTCGTTTGGACGAGAACTCCGTAACTCCGTTGAAAGACAGTGCCACGTGCTCTGGGAGTACCTACCCTGCTTCCTTGTGGAAAGCGCCGCAGTCTTGCTGAAGCCTTGTGTTCGTTGTCCCGACAACTCCTTCAAGCAGCAGACAGGGGCCTCCTCCAAGCGGAAGTCATGGCTCAGGGGCCACAAGAGACCATCGGGCACCTGTCGAAGATATGCATCAACGCGATTCAGTGAAGTAGTACATGATTGCTTTTGATGCTAGAATTACGTATCAATTTCCCCCAATGATCTAGCAACGTGTAGAGCTCAATAGTAGAAAGTGGGTTGTCTGCCATTGCGCCGGCCTTGTCTAACTCCTTTGCAGGTCCCAGGTCAAAGTCACTGGGCATGCCTTGCTCATCCAGCACTGGAAATTTCAGCTCGTAGTTACGTAGTCCAAGTTGCAACGGGTTGCGTTTGCTCCAGTGCAACACAGCTGACGTGCAGGGAGCTCCATGCTCTTCGTCACTGCCGGGTTGCCAAAAGCCATGGCAGAAAGCAGCTCCAGTGTGCTGTGGGGCCTCCATGCACAGGCCGAGGGGCTCTCAGAGCAGGATGCTGTTCAGAATCAGTTGTGGACAGAGCGCTTTTGCTGCAAGTACTGTAGGGTTGCTTGCGTTTGCTTCATCCAAAATTGGTATGGCTCCCGCCTGGGCTCCACGGCTGTTTCGCGCTGGGCCTCGTGCCGCGCGAGTACAGCTGGGTCCAGAAGTCGGCCCAGGATGCTCTGGCATGCCTCAACACTGCACGAAGAAGATGGTCCGAACAAAATGGTCCCAATCGGGAGTCCAGTTACAATCAGATGCGCCGCTGAAGACTTCGCTGCAACTCGGGCCATGCTGATCCAAATAACAAATCATCAAACTTGGCAAGGGGCTTGGCCCTGCAGCTCCAGAACGCTCGTGCGGGCGACGCCATACTCCCCATCTCGCCTATCAATCAGGTACCGCACAAATGCTTCTACGACTTCTTCTTGGTGATCAAGCACCAGAGCAACTGCAGACACTGCAGGCCTCACGAGGAGGCGGTCGCTTTCGCCGCCCTCGAAACGGAAGACGGGGCCGACCAACATGTGCAGGGCGACGGCCTAAGCACGCCGCGGTAAACTCTAAGAAAGGAACACAAGCGAGTCCTGAGCCCAGACAACAAGACACAGAATTCCAGATGGCACAGCTGCGGAGACCAAGGCAGACCAAGACACGACATATCTCAGTGCCGCCTCTGCTTCGACGCGTTGCACGCCGCTGCGCCGGGCATCCACTAGGGCGCCGCCGACGTAGGCACCCGCTGCCAGAACAGCACGGGTGCAGATCCTGTGACCGGTATCCAATACAAGACTTGCCGCTGGTTCCGGGCGTGTCAAACCAGGAAAGAACAATGGAAAAGTAGCGTCATCTGCAGCTGAGCATCTCCAGGGTGTTCAGCACCCGCTGGCTGTACAGGTTGCCTCAGACTTGGGACTTGGCTTTTTCCTTCCAATCGCCGTCTCTAGTTCGTGCTCGTGTCGGCATGACGTAAATTTCTGACTTGGCACAATCAACGTGAGAACTTTGCACGTGTTCGAGCAGCATCTTCCGACGCTGCAGGGCCCATAGGATTTTGTCAACACCTGCAGCTGGTGATCTTGCCCACTGCCAGTGCTCTACGACACTCGTAGCACGGAAAGCACCCGGTGACTTGAGAAGGTCCCAAACACGGTACTTCTCTCATTGTTGAAAGTCCGAGCTCAGCTTCCCAGCACCACTGAGGCAAAAAAGTGAACGAGGGAAAGCCTCCACCCATCCCTCGCCAATGACGAACAGGTTTGAAACCTCATGCCAGGTGGCCCATACGCTCGATGGAAGCCATCCGCTGCTGCACTCGCGGATCCAAGCCGCCTGAAGGCTGTCTGTCATGCCAGGCCAACCAGAACACAGCACGGCAACATCAGCAAAAGCGTGACGGGATCCAGGTACGGGGAGCTACGACGGACTTGTCTCGATTGAGTTTTCAGGATCTACGAAATCTCGATTCTTGTCTTGAAAACCCAATCCCAGTGGCTTTGCGGCATTTTGCCGTCACCCAACCCACCCTGCCTACATCATCGTCCGAGGCAAACAGCGGGTTCTGAGGCTCGGTGGAGACCTCTTCCTGTCGGGGTGCATAGCGCCGTGGGCGGGGTCTTCTTCGCACCAACTTGCAAGTGCTGCAACATCCGGCATTGGCTCCTCCTCAACAGACTGGCCATTCGCCAACAGCTCTAACTTGGCATGGCGCTGCCCGCGAACTTCCTCCAGCGGCGTGTAGCCGTAGCTGATGGCCTCAGTCAGTGAAGTCGAATGCAGAATGCTGACAACCGCTAAGCATGTTCCAAGGCTTGGGTAGCAGGCATATTGGTCGTATCTGCCCGGCCCGCCAAGGAAGTGTCCACCGAAGACAGGCTTGGCAGGATCGGAAGTATCCAGGTCATCCGGGTAGTCCATG